GGGGTTAAGAATTTGGCATCTGTGCCAATTTCAGGTTGGACTCTCAACTCTGGCACACAGCAACCTCAACCTTTAAAAAATGAAATAAATCAGGGGCTCCTGGGTGGCTCAGTTAAACGTCCAACCCCAGCTCAGGTTGTGATCTTGCGGTTTGTGGGTTTGAGCCCTGCATCAGGCTCTGTGCTGACAGCTCAGAGCCTGGAGCCTGTTTCATATTCTGTGTCTCCCTCTCTCTCTCTCTCTCTCTCTCTCTGTCCCTCCCACACTGGTGCTCCGTCTCTCCCTTTCTCTCAAAAATAAATAAACATTAAAAATTTTAAAAATAAATAAACGTTTAAAAAAATTTTTTTAATGAAATAAGTCAGTCAGAGAAAGACAAACATCAGCTTCACTTAGTTGGAATTTAAGAATCAGGACCCAGGGAGGAGAGACGTACCAAAAAAAGACTCTTACAGAGAAGGAACTGGCAGCTGCCAGAGGGGAGGTGGGGAGGGGGGGGGGGGGGTTGGGGGGGTGGAGGTGGAGGGTTTAGGTAAAGGGGATTAAAAAGTAAGCTTGTTACGATGAGCGCGGAGAAGTGTAGAGAATTGTTGAATCACTATACTGGACTCCCGAAATTAACACCACGCCGTGTGTTAATTACACTGGCATGAAAGAGAACAAAGCAACCGCTGAATCTCTGCCCGCAGCCCGGGGAGATGCCACCCCTCTCACCCGCACCCAGTCCTCTGGCAGTCCCCGCGCGCAGGCGCAGAGGAGCACTGACGCGCAGGGCAGCCCCGCCCCTCCCAGCCCGGGCTGCACACCCGTGCGGAACTTTCACTCCACACCCAGGCTCCGCGCGAGCGCCGGTGCAGTCCCGGGGATTCCTGGGTAGCAGTTCCAAGCCCGGGCGGTGGCCCAGCAAACCCGGGAGGAGGCTCGGCCCCAGCGGCGACCCGGAGGAACCCAGGATGGTGTGGCCGCCGCTGCTGCTGTCGCTGCTGTGCCTGCTCTGGGCGCCCACGAGAGCAGGTGAGTAACCGCGTTCGACCTGGCGGCCACTGCTTATTCCCCCACCCTCCCCCGTCCCCCTCTGCACCAGCGGGGTGCTCGGCCTCCCGGGTTCCCCCGCCCCGAGTCTGGAGGAACTTGGGTCCCGGGAAGGGCTCAGGCCAGACTTCGATACACCGATACACCACCCTAGGGCCATCAGTCAATGGGAGAATCTCAGCGGAGGATGACCCCTCCATGTCCAGCCATTCACCGTGGCCGGATGTGCTTCCCTGGGTCCTGCGGCCCCCCGATCCGATCGGGGACAGAGAATCTTGATGGGGAACAGGAAGGCGGTGGCACATAACTCCCCCGAATCGCTTCTGACCCCTATTGTATGGCTCTAAGGGCATTAGTATTTTCATCCCCGCTGGACAGAGAGGACAAGTGCATTCCTGAGGGTCAAGTCACTTGCCTAGGCTAGCCAGCAAGTGGCAGAGCCGGGGCCTGGCCCCGGGGCTGGTCTACCCTGCGGCCGGCCCTCCCAGGCTCGTGTCCAGAATGAAAGCATGCATGCATTCATTCCCCACACGCGTTTATGGAGCGCTTACTGTGTGTCAGGCAGTGTTCCAAGCCCTGGGGATACAGCCTTGAAGTCAGACGGCCCTGAGCTCAGGAGCGTTTCCTAAGCTCTCTGTTTCCATAAAACGTGTTGAGGGTGGGGAGGGATTCTTACCTATCTCGTAAGACTGTGTCTTGGGAGGTTGCTGACCAGTGTTGCACTTGGTAAGAACAATAAGCATAATTCGTGTGAACAATATTAATACCGAATACAGACTTGGGAAGTGTGGGAATTGTTGAATCACGATACTGGGGAAGCCACAGTCCCTCATCTCGGCATTTCCCAAAAGGTGTTTCCCAGAACACAGGGCACTTCTCCCGCGGCTTGAGGAGTTCATGTAGAGCTACCAACCTAAACCGCTTAAGGAGATCCCCAATATGGGTCCTACTGTGACCTCCAGTTACAGATGAGGAGACTGAGGCACAGAGAGAGGAAGTAACTTGCCCCAGGCACCAGCAAGAAGCAGCAGACCCATGGGGTGCCTGAGTGGCTCAGTCAGTTAAGCATCCAACTTCGGCTCAGGTCATGATCTCACGGCCCGTGAGTTCGAGCCCCACCTCAGGCTCTGTGCTGACAGCTCGGAGCCTGGAGCCTGCTTCCGATTCTGTGTCTCCCTCTCTCTCTGACCCTCCCTCACTCGTACTCTCCATCTCTCTCTCTCACACACAAATAAACATTTAAAAAATTAAAAAAAAAAAAAAAAACAAGTAACAGACCCAATGAGTGAACCAAAATTGGACAGGCCCCCCCCTCCACCAGGGCAGCAGGAGAGACTGGTGCCTGGGAGCCTAGACGCAGGGTAGACCAGCCCCGGGGCTAGGCAAGTGGCTTGACCCTCAGGAACGCACTTGCCCTCTCTGTCCAGTGGGGATGAAAATACTAATCATGCACATCTCGTGGGGCATTAGGACGGGGTTGCAGGAGGCCATCTGTAAGGAAGCGGCTCATATGCCTGGCACAGAGTAGGCAGGTCCTGGCACAGAGTAGGCACCTGCGTGTGGTTAGTACACTCTACTCAGTGTGGAGGAGACCTGCCCTCTGGTGGAGGAAAGCACCAGAGCGGGAGACTCACTTGCTCATTGGATCCCACATTAGCGCCCTGTGTTCCAGCTGTGCCCTCCTCCACGCTCCCAGCTCCCCGCACCTCTGCATGCTACCTCCCAGCTTCCTCTTCCTCACAACACAGTACTATTCACCTTGATAGAGTCATTGGCAGGTGCTAATCCCTTTACATAGATTTCATCACCTCATGTGCCCGGCAACCCTACGCTGCTATAATCACGCGCGTTTCACAGATGAGAAAACTGAGGCTCAGAGCAGTGAAACCACCCACACATAGACCCACAGCTAATGAGTAGCAGTGCTGGGGTTCAAAGAACTTAACTCTTTCCCACCTTCTCCATTATCTGTATTAATAATAAGAGTGCATAGGAAAAAAAAAAAAAGAATGCATAGGATTTTATTTATTAAAATCAGTAAGAAACCAATTTGACAATAAATTTCATATTAAAAAATAATAAAACAAAATAAGAGTCAGTACCTATATTGAGGGCCTACTGTGTGATGGGGCCCTAGGCCGAAAGATTTTTAGTTTAGTTTTGTTTTTTTTTTTTAAGTATTTATTTTTGAGAGAGCAGAGTAAGAGAGCTCGGGGGTGGAACACAGAGAGACAGAGGGACAGAGGATCTGAAGCAGGGACCCCCCCACTGACAGCAGCAAGCTGGACGCAGGGCTTGAAGCCGTGAACGCACGAGATCATGACCTGAGCCAAAGTCTCACGCTCAACCGTCAACCCCAACCGACTGAGCCTCCCAGGCGCCCCTAGGCTGAAAGACTTTAATACAGAGCCTTGTGGGTTAGAGGTCAGACCCCAGGGTTCAAAGCCCACTTCAGCCATTTACCCTCTCCGTGACCTGGAGCAAACGACTCTGCCTTGGTTTCCCCATCTATAAAGTGGGGCTGACAGCCGTGCTGGCCTCAAGGAGCTGTTTAGGGACTCAATGCTGAGAGATACATGAAGCACTCGGAACAGCCCCTGGTGTGTGTAAGCAACCAGTGAGTGTTAACTGTTATTAGCCCCACGTTACAAATTAGGAAAAAGAATCAGAGGGTTTAAGTAACCTGCATGAAGCCTCACAGCACAGACTGGAAGGGATCCAAAATCCTTGGATTATAATCGCCAGCCTTCTTGTGCCAGGATCCCCTACAAACCTTCTCCCGATCGGGGGTCCATGCCCAATAAAAGTAATAATAATACCGTATTTCGTGGATTCTTTTATTTTTTTTTAACGTTTATTTATTTTTGAGACAGAGAGAGACAGATCATGAACAGGGGAGGGGCAGAGAGAGAGGGAGACACAGAATCGGAAGCAGGCCCCAGGCTCTGAGCCATCAGCACAGAGCCCGACGCGGGGCTCGAACTCACAGACCGCGAGATAGTGACCTGAGCTGAAGTCGGACGCTTAACCGACTGAGCCACCCAGGCGCCCCCGTATTTCATGGATTCTAAGACTCAAGAGTTTCTGCCCCTTTTCCCACCCCTCAGTGAGTCATGCTGTAAGTGACAGTGTCACCGCGGGACTAATGACACAGAGCTGACAGAAACCTTCTGGAACTAGTTATCAGTGATAGTCAATGCACGGCCTCGTGCCCTTTGAAATGGTTTCAATGGCAGATTTCAGTTTTTAACTACAATTAAACACATCGATGATGCTGAGATCGGGGAAATACGGTAATAACAGCCCAGGGAAGTGGCCCGGACGGGTTGGAGACCCAGAGCGAGCGGCCTCCCGGATGCCCCTCGCCTGGAGCGTCCAAACCACAGGCGCCGGGTCTGACCCCCGCCTCCCCCCAACCCCCCTCCCCCTCCCCGCCTTTCCCCGCAGGGACCGGGACGGTCGATGTGCAGGCGCCCGCGCAGGTGCGCGGCTTCCTGGGCGACACGGTGGAGCTGCTGTGCAAACTGCCGCCCCTGGAGCACAAAGTGCAGGTGACGCAGGCCACGTGGACGCGGCGGACGGCGGCGGGGGACGACCTCAACGTGGCGGTCTTCCACCCCACACAGGGCTCCAGCTTCCCCGAGCCCGGGCGGCTGGAGTTTGTGGCCGCCAGGCCGGGCGAGGAGCTGCGGGACGCGTCGCTGGCCCTGCGAGGGTTGCGCGCCGAGGACGAGGCCAATTACACCTGCCGGTTCGCCATGTTCCCCGACGGCAGCAAGAGCGCGCGCACCTGGCTCCGCGTGCTGGGTGAGCCGAGGAGCCGGGAGGGGATGATGGGGGGCTACCTGATCTCAAAGGAATACAAACGAGTGATTTTTTTTTAAGTTTATTTATTTTGAAAGAGAGAGAGCACACGAGTGGGGGAGAGGCAGAGAGAGAGAGAGGGAGAGTGAGGATCTCAGGAAGGCTCCACGCTGTCAGCACAGAGCCCGATGCGGGGCTCAAACCCACGAACCGTGAGACCATGAGCAGAGCAGAAACCAAGAGTTGGACACCTAACCGACTGAGCCAACCAGACGCCCCTGTTTAGTTTTGAGAGAGAGAGACACAGAGCGTGAGCAGGGGAGGGACAGAGAGAGAAGAAGACACAGAATCCGAAGCAGGTCCCAGGCGCTGAGCTGTCGAGCCTGATGCGGGGCTCGAACTCACCAACAGTGAATGGAAGTCAGATGCTTAACTGACCGAGCCACCCAGGCGCCCACCAAAAAAGTGATCTTAATGCTGTGGTCATAGGCTTGGCATCAGAATATTTTCATTATCAAATTCTGAATTGAGCCCTCCAGTTCCTCCTGGATGGGGTACGCCCCTGATAGCAATCCCAAAGCCAAGTATTCCAAGAGGAAGGATGGTCTGTCCCTGCGCCCCAGACAGGCCGTGACTGCCTTAGAATGGACCGCAGACACCAAAGCCACTGTCGTGGGAAAACCTGAGAAAATGTGCTTTTTGGAAGCCTCCGGGAGGTGCTGGCCATGAACCCGAGGAGGCCGTCCTGATAGGAGATGATCGCAGGGACCATGTTGGTAGGGCTCACAATACCGAGCAGCAGATCAAGAAAAAATTAATCCACTCCTAACTTCAGTATCCTTCAGGCTGTGGACCCCATACTGCAGCATGTACTGTGTGTGATTCTTTATGTGAATCAGAAACAACCGGAAGCCCGGCCTTTTGTGCCTGCAATGGGTCCCTCCGGAACTCCCTGCCGGCAGAGATAGAAACTAGTTTTAATTTAAAGTAATATTTCCGGGGCGCCTGGGTGGTGCAGTCGGTTAAGCGTCCGACTTCAGCCAGGTCATGATCTCGCGGTCTGTGAGTTCGAGCCCCGCGTCAGGCTCTGGGCTGATGGC